CCAGAGCCAGTCCCTTCCTGGCACTGGTGGACTTGGCGCCTCTGCCCCTGGGCAGGGCCCTGGCAGTGCATTCATGTAGATATTTTTGCTTTCAACAGAACGTGAGCTTCAAGATCCACAAATGTAGACCTAGACCCAGCTCATCCTTCTTGTGTTCTCAGGTTCAGTATCTTACACAATCAACTGTCTCATAACTCGGTCTAGGAACTTAGGGTTGCTTTGCTTCCTCTGTCCTCTCCATCTCCAGATCTGTGATGAATCACTAAGCCCTTGTCAGTGCAGCTTTCTGTGTGTGTGAGTGTGTGTGCGCGCGCGCGTGTGTGTGCATGCACGCATGGTGGCATAGTTGTGGCCAACTCTTTGTGACCCCATGGACTGTAGCCTGTCTGGCTCCTCTGTCCATGGGGTTCCCCAGGCAAGAACACTGCAGTGGGTTACCATTTCCTCCTCCAGGGGATCTTCCCCATCCAGGATCAAACCAGCATCTCCTGCGCCTCCTGAATTGACAGGCAGATTCTTTGCCACTGCACCACTGGGAAGCCCATGACTTTCTAGAGCATGTCCTAAAGGTCTTGTTCACCTCATTCTCACTTTCTCTGCCCCAGTCAAGACAGCCAGCATCCCCCAGGTAAATTGCCACAACAGCCTCCTAACCATTCTCCCGGTTTCCGTTTTCACCCTTCCCATCCTTGTTGCACATGGCAGCTAGAATGAGGCCAGCGGAAGTCAAGTCCCAGCACAAGCCGTGTTGAAAACCACTCTCTGGCTTCCCCCTCAACTTACAAAGTTGCGTGATCCAGCCTCTGCCTGAGTCACCAGCCTCACTTGGACCCACCCTCCCTTTCTTTCTCCTCAGGCTATCCTGGCTTTCTTTTATCCTCTCATACATGCCTCATTCTTTCCTGCTTTAGGATCTTTTCAGTCATGTGTTTTTCCTGCTTGATGGAAAACTCTGTGCTCAGTCCTTCGTGAGGCTGAAACTTCATCAGCTTAAAGATCACATTGTCTTGAGAACAACCACAAACTGACCCCAATCATATTATATGATTTTCACACACTTTATCCTTTGTAACCCTCTTCACAGTATAAATAAATGATGTGAAATTTGCTCAGTCGTGTCCAACTTTTGGCAGCACCCCATGGACTAGACAGTGCGTGGAATTCCCCAGGCCAGAATACTGGGGTGGGTAGCTGTTCCCTTCTCCAGGGGATCTTCCCAACCCAGGGGTCGAACCCAGGTCTCCACATTGCAGACAGGTTCTCTACCAGCTGAGCCACCAGGGGAACCCATAAATAAATGATACTTGTGTAGTGTGTGTCTGTGTTCTGTTTCCCTCACACGTCACAGCATCATGAAGCAGGGGCCTTGTCTGATTTGTCTGCTGTTCTAGCCGGAACACAGTTTTGTTTTGTTTTTTTTCAAATAATGTTTTGATGTACCTTTCTAGTCATTTTAGTTTTTTGATCCAAGAGCATGGAGGAATTTTTTTCCTTTATTAATTCAAGTGATACTCTTCTTTATCAGGAACCAGAAAAGGAGATGTTTAATTTCAAAAATCTGGTTGCTATTCTCCTATAAACTCAAAAACTCCTTGCAGAAAGGATCCTGTCTTCCTTAGGCCATGACTACACAGGACATGCTCAGTCAATCCTTTTTTATTTAGTAGAACACTTGTCAGGTTATGGTTGTTGTTTTTGGAAAGAGAGACCAAAGCATCGTAGAGGAATCCTCTGCCATCATCACCGCGACCCAAAGTAGTGGGACCACAGTGAGATTAGATGCTTCAGACTTAGATCTGATCAGGAATTAGAACCAGGTAAATGAATATTTTAGAATCCCTCTCTTGTCCTCTGAAGACAGGATTCAGCCATATCTGCCTTTTTCACTGTGCTGTTTCTATTTAACAAGAGTGGCCTTAAATAAATGTTTAGAAAAGGAATGAAGACGTTGCAAAACTGAAGGATTTTAGTAAAAAATATTTTTTCTTCATAGTGTTGATTTCTTGGCTTTCACCCTCAACATTTAACAGTTGTGCTCAATAAATATACATGAAGTAATCCTACTATCATTGTGTCATAATGGTGAAATGAAAGGGCCTAAATTACGTGTTTATTTCTTACAGCCCACTGCACCAATAATATGTGAATTTCTCACAATGATGGCGGTATGTCACACAGCAGTACCAGAGCGGGAAGGTGATAAGATTATTTACCAGGCAGCATCTCCAGGTACAAATGAAGTAATTGTGATGTATTTCTTGGCTGAAAATTGTTCTGAAATATGAGACTGTTCAGAAAAATTTAATTTGAAGGAGTAAAACAACCAAGTTACTTTTGTTTCAGATTAAAAATGTTATTTACTAGTTAGAAATGTTGGCTTTCAAAATTATACATATATGTACATATTTTAAAATCCGTAACTGTGTAATATTTGTTATATAACATGTTACACGGAAATTTGAATAGCAAAATTCATACAAGTTAAAAAACATGGTACTCTATGTGCATAGTACGTTTTCCCTTCTTTATAAATAATTAAGAAAAAAACTGTTGGTCATAAACTGTTTTTTCACATAAGCAGGCAGGAAAAGGAAGATCTGTTTGCCTGAATAGTGTTGATTTTAGAATACCAACTTTTCTTCTTTTGGAAATGATAATCAAGGAGTTCGCTGTGTATTTACTTGGATGAGAAGAGCTTTACACTTAGAAAGGAGATTCCACACTTAGACTTATTTTCAGTGTAAAATTGGGTAAATAGCCAATTTGATGACTAAGATTTCAGGAAAGAAGGAACACACTTTAGGGAACTTTTTTATAAGCTTCCTTTAAAAAGAAAACAACTTTATTTTGCATTGGAGTATGGTCAGTGAACAATGTTGTGATAGTTGGAAGTGGCCAGCAGGACTCAGCCGTGCATACACACGTATCCACTCTCCCCCACTCTCCGCCCACCCAGGCTGCCACGTAAGGTTGAGCAGAGTTCCGTGTGCTATGCAGCAGGTCCTGTTGGTTACCATTTTTAACATAGCGGTGTGTACAAACCCGTCTCAACCTTCCTAACTATCCCCTCCCACTGCGTTTTAAAAATCAGCACCTGCGACCTCATACAATATACCAGATTCCTAAAAACCATGACAGACACTCTTTATTGTTAAGATAGACACTATATGGGTGTTTATCTCACACCCTTCCCTCAAAAACAAAAATGTTTTGATGTAACATGGTGATGAGAGTAAATAATATGCAATACAATGAAACATCAATTCATTTATATCCTTTTAAATTGACCCCTCAATATTCGTCGTGTTATTAATAGTTTTCCTACATTCAGCATTTTAGGAGGAAAAGGATAAAACTTAAGAAGGCACTTTTGTGCCACTCGTTTTTTTCCAGTTTAATTAAGAAATAATTGATATACATCACTGTATCCCTAATACTTATTTATGTTATAATGGAAATGTGTACCTTTTGATCACCTTTCTCCACTTCCCCTTCACCAACCTTCCACCTCTGATAACCACATCTGATCTCTTTTTATAAGAGTTTGAGGGAGGTGGGTTTCTCTTCTCTTTTTTCTTTAGATTCCACATAATAAGTGAGATCATACAGTGCTTTTCTTTGTCTGACTTATCTCTCTTAGCATGATACCTTCATGGTCTATCCATGTTGTTGCTATTATGGGATTTCCTCATTTGTACACATCATTTAAGAAAAGTTTTGTAGAGAATATGCTGGACCAAGAGGTCCTTTGAAGTTATCCTTTTTAGGTCTGTTTGGCTAACAGTGAGACTTAGCCCTCAAGAATATGCCTCTGGGATCTATACATGTCTCAGATTCTGAAGATCATTCTACTCAAACCCTGGGTATCATTGTATGATTTAAAAAGAAATGCATTTCAATAACAGGAGTCAGAATAAAAAGAACTTTAATTCATTTTAAAGTTAAGCAGACTATTATACCGCAGTCTTACTCTCATATTTGGGATAATTTTTTTCACCATGTATTTGCTTCCTTCTGTTTGCCTGAAACAGATGAGGGAGCCTTGGTCAGAGCAGCCAAGCAGCTGAATTTTGTTTTCACTGGAAGAACGCCTGACTCAGTGATTATAGATTCAGTAAGTTATTTAATTCTCCTTTTTATCAAAGCAATGCACGTGCAAGCTTCAAAGATAAAATAATACCAAAAAGCTCATAGTGAAACAGCTTCCCTCCTCTCGTTCTCCTCTCCAGAAGCGTTGACTTTTCTATTCTTTTAGCTGTTTCTTCAGACGTTTATGCATCCTTTTTTAATATGTGATGAATGAAATATATTTCAATTCTTCAATTTTAGAGATATCTACTGACATTCTATTCACTTATATTAAATGAGGGATTATTTCTCTTGACTCACCATCCCTTTTCAGTAGTAGTATAATTATATTACAGTGCTTGGTTAAACAAGTATTTGGACCCAGATGTTATATGGGCAAAAGATTGGAACAGACATTTCACAAAAGAAGATATACAAATGGCCAGTGAGCACATGAAAACACATCGTTAATCATCAGGGAAATGCAAATTAAAGTCTCAATGAGATACTACAACATGCCCAGCAAGGAAAGTCACATTTAAGACATTACGGCAGCACCTGATGTTAATGAAACTGCAGAGCAAGGGGATCACCTCTATGTTGCTAGTAGATGTGTGAGATGGTACAGCCCCTTTGGGAAACCTTTTAGAGCTTTCCAGTACAGGTAAGCATGTTCCTGACGCAGCAGATGTAGCTACACTTGCCCGGAAGAAGTAAAAGCATGTGTCTGCAGAGGGGTGGTTCATGGTATGTTCATAGCAACTGTATTCACATAGCCAAAAGCTGGAAACAAACCAAATGTCCATCGCTCGCAAAATGGATCCACACATTGTGATGCACAGTGAAATAGCTGAGCAACGCAGAAAGAGTAAAATGATCGATTCATTACCAGCATTGATAAGTCTCAGGAACAGGCTGAGAAAAAAAGATAAAATAAAGCCAGACACAGAGCTCTGCATACTCTGCATGTATATCGAGGTTGAGATCAGGAAAAAGTGACTTATGGTCTTAGAATTCAGAGCAGCAGTTGCCCCACCTCAGGGGGGAGGTTGGGAAAGGGGGCAAAGGAATTTATAGGACAGTGGAAATGTTCTCTGTCTTGATTAGAGCGGTGGTTACACCTAGGAAACCTTTATCAAACTATACAATTTTCGTTGAACTACATATTCAAGATCTGTGTACACTGTTGTATATAAATGGTATCTCATTAAGCATTTTTATTTAGTGTTTATGTTATTATGGCTGTATTGATATTCCTAGCAAAACATTGTTTTATTCAGTATTTATTTTCTTTGTTTTTAATTTTGTGTTTTCAGATACAAAATTATCTCCTGAAAATAATTTGTTTCTTTAATTCTTAAAATAAATCTCTTATGTTTTTTCCAAGTGCAACATTTTCTTCCCACCTGTTACTAATTGTTCTAATTGTTTCATAACTTCTTGGTGCACTTTTATCAGTACAATTACACCAGATCATCTGGCCAGTGGGCAGTTGCGGTCTTTGCCTTGAGACCTTCCTCCTGAAGCGCCGTGCCCCGACCCCGCCTCTGTTCTTACTCTGGGCCAGTTTTGTTCAGAGGTCAGCTTCTGTGGCACCTGAAATTCCTTTTGATTGTCTCCTGTTTGGGGCTTGCTATTTCCTGTAAGTCAGAACTTCTTTCTCAGAGCCTGACATTGGTAGAACGCGTTTTCTGTCCGTTTCATCCTGTTGAGAAGGTGTTCCGGAAGCAGAAGTCACGGCAGTGACCGCCCTCACTGAGCCCGCTCCGGACTCAGGCCTCCAAGCTGCCGTGGTGGGTAACTCAGACTCACTCAGGGTTCTCGAGAGGAATCGCTTCCCCGTCTCCCTGGGGGCTTTCCCTAACTCCCTCCTGTGTTAGATCGTCTGTTTCCTGAATTCCTTGTCTTCCTTGTTCTTGGCCTACGCTGGAGAATGTTCTTTATTGGCTTCTTGAGAAAAGACACATGGAAGTTACCTCTTGTTTAGTCCTTTTAAGTGTAAACATTTTTATCTGACCTTTATACTTAATGTGTGGTCCTGCTGAATAGAGAATTCTAGGGTGGCAATCAGCGTCCTGAGGAATTTTTATTGCCTGGCTTCCTGCATGCCTAACTGAGAAGTCAGAAGCCACTGTGACTCTCGTTTTTGTGACTTGCCCACTGCCTCCCTCAAGAAGTTTGCGAGATCTTCTTTAGCTGAGTTCTGAAACTTCACAACCATGTACCGTAGTGAGACCATTTTAACTCACTGTACTGAACACTGAGTGGACACTTGTCCATTTGGAAATTGACATCCTTCCATTCTGGAAGTTTTTCTTGGATGAGTCTGTTCATTTTTCTTTCTCTTTTTTTGCTGCTCTCTAGAATTCCTGAGCTCATCTTTTAACTTTTCTGTCCTGCTTTTCTTGTTTTTGCCTTCTTGTTCTACTTTTTGGAAGTTTTCCTCTCTTTTGTCTTCTTAGACTTCAATTGATTTTCTTTTTGTTTCTGGTATTACATTTTTTAGCTTCCAGAAGCTTTTATTGTTTTCTCAATATTTCTTTTTTTAAGAGTATCCTGTTTTTCCCTCGTAGATGTTGTACTTATGTTACTTCTCTGAGAGGAATAATGGTAGTTTTTTTTCTTTTTTATGTTTTCTTCTTAAAAAAAATTGCAAACAGTTTAAATAAGCATATTTTACTGGAACATAAAATGGTCTTAAACTGTCATTACAGTTGTTTTGATTATTGCACTGGGGGAAGCGTACTTCACCAAAAATTAAACATCAACTTTCACATATTCTTTTCTGGAGTTTCTCATTCTCTACTTAGGAGAAAAAGAAGAGCATTTAATTACTGCACCACCTGCATATGGGATGCATTAATAGGCTATGCAAGATCTTTGATGAGAGCTACAATATTCAGAGAAATAAGGCCAGTCTCCCCCTATGCCCCCAAAGAGCAGCGCAAGCCGTGAATCTTAATCACAGAAGCATAACCATTGTTACAGGCAGCTTTTTGTCTCAGACATTTTCTTTGTTTTTTCATGGGTCCCATAAACAAGCATATACTGGTGGATCTCACCGTATTTCCAAGGGTATAAAACACTGCAGAAGGTTTTATGCCATCAGGAGTCCACAGTCATCCAGTTCCCATGAGACAACAGAAAATGCCCCACAGAAAGCATAGGACAAACCCCGTCATCCTGGTGTGGGAATGGAGGGAAGAGGCAGCCGGGACCTGCCCACCAGCCCTTGGTGCCCATTAGGAAGCCCAGGCCGGCCAACGCCGGTGTTTTCTTTTTGAATTCTCTTTCTTCCAAATTGCTCTTATCTGTTTGTTTTGGGTATCTGTAATCCATGATAATAGCTGTCCTTGGATATCTGTTAATCTTTGGTTTTCTCTTGGTTAAGAGTAAAGAATTTGCAAGCTGATACGGCAGTTCTGAGTATAAGAAGGTATTTGTCCACATTGGGCTCCACTGTGGGGTGGTCTGGTGGGATTCGTTTGGGAAATCATGGTTGTCTGTGCCTTTAGGGCTCAACCTGGGCTTACAGATTCCCGAGAGAACAGTCTTCCACCCTTCTGCCAGGAAAGATGTGGCTGCCAGAATGTAGGGGGCCAAGTGGGTTGTGGGTATTGGGGCCTCGCCTTTAGTACAAATGCAATAACAATACACATATCTTCAAGTGTGCCGACTTCTCGACAAAAGAAACTTGAGCAGCAGAGCCTCTGGTCTTCTGCCAGGAGGCAGGAAGAGCCAGTGCCCAGAGCAGCAGCTCCTTCCCTGGTCCTCCCGTGTAGGGCGCTCCTTCACCTTCCAGTTCTAGAACTACCTGTTATTCCTCTTCCCTAGGCCTTTTAGGGATTGTTCAATCCAGGTCAGGCTGGTTCTCACCTTTTCCCCCATAACCACTGTGTATACAATAGCATTTGCTACTCCTTGCATCTGCTAACTAAGCATATCTCACTTATCTGTTTTCTAGCTTCCAAATTTTTAATGCCATTGTCTCTTTTCATATTTTCCCACCATTGTAAGTTTCTTTCTTTTTAATTTTGGTGGGGTTTTTTTGTAGTTTTGGTGGGGCTTTGATAAGAATGAAAAGTAATTGCATTTGTTCAATCTTCCATCTTAACCTGAAAAGTTAGTAAGTTCAATTAAGAAAGGACAATTTGTGTTGACATTTTTCACATTAAAACTTCATGACTGGAGTTTATTTCCAAGAAGCCAAAGCTACTTCTTACTGTATGTAATCATATTTTCCTTTTCTTCATAGCTGGGGCAGGAAGAAAGATATGAGTTGCTCAATGTCTTGGAGTTCACCAGGTAAAACATCTGCTCTGTGGTTTGTGTGCATGTCATACATTTCCCTCCTTTTAAACTTTTTCCCTTTTAAGTAAGAAGAAAGTGTGCTTTATTTTATTTAAATAAATTTATTTAGGCCAAATATTAAAATTTCCAATGCAATTTTTAATTGTCATTTGTAAGAAAATCATAAACTGTTCTCTTCAGAGTCTTGTAAGGCATGTCTTCTGGAGGCAGTGTAATAATATTTCTGAACATAACAATCCGTATCACAACTGTAGGGTGCATGCTTGGGTAGTGATCTGAAAACATTATACTTAGGGACACCAAGATTTATGCAGAATTAAAATGAATCAGAGTCAGGAACTTGCCGTTCTAATTGTGTGCTCATTATAACATCTAGTTGTCATAGGGATTTCAGAAACTCATATTCATCTGTCTGTTAGGTATAAAAATAGTTTCCACATAGTAGGAATAGACAGAAGGGATTGGTCCACAGCAGATAAACATGTAGTGTTCATGGCCAAATGAATAGGGATTTCTTGTTGGAAGCTTCCATCCAGGTGATTGCAAAAATCCTGCATCTGGAGTAACTAGGGCATACTGGAGACTTGAGGAATGGAGAGACCGTAAGAGAATGCGCACAGTCCTGTGAGGAGGTGGGAGCAGGGTTGTTAGAGAAATGTGGGTGGTGAGGCAATGTGGCGCGCTCTGTGACGCTGGGACCAAGCATTTACTAACCTGTGACAGGACGGCTTCTCCTCAGCAGCGTCCGCTTACGCTGCTGGACCCCGGAAGGCATTCCTGTTCACCCGGGATTGGGGAGTTCCGCCAGGAGAAGAAAGGAGCAAGGAAGCTGGTGAACCAGGGACCACGCCTTCAAAGCTGGATTAAGAGAAACTCGAATCAGGAAGGGCTGGGGTAGAATACAGAGACGTTGTTCCAAAGCCGGCCCAATTCAGTGTGGTCAGAAAGCACAGGAATGATCAGAGACTCTAATGCAGCAGAAATAACAGATGGAGAAAGAGAGGAGCAAATAGTCCAAGAGAGTTCTAAAGGCAGCTACACTATATCTAACCTCTGTAGTGGATTCATCTCAGTTTTTTAGCTGCAGAACGCTATAAGGTAACATGAATAGACTCTGACACTAAAGAGGTCTTTTTTACCCCTTTTTCTGGAGAGAATGCTTATGCATACTTGATTCCAAGTGAGGCTTATCCTGTGCAATGCCATTCCTGCTTATTCTGTTCATTGTTAATTTGTAGTCTCTTTGCTAATCCATTGAAAGATGTGTATGTTTGACTAAGAACTTTTATCAGTCTGTATTGCCAACACAATGTTAAGCCATTTGTGCTCATTAACTAGAGTTTGTAATATGAATTAGGTTTTTTACATGATGCCAGTGGTTTGCTAGTAATTAAAAAATGATAGTTGTGAAGGCTTAAGTAAGTTTTTAAAGTGCTAGTATATGCCTTTTCATTGGGTGTATACTTAAAATTGATTATCATTTCTAATGTTAAACATTCTGCTATGGAAATGTAACACAGATGTTTAGCCTGAAGTTGCTGACATCCACTTTTGGAGGTGTTTTATAGTACTAGTGTTCAGCCTCTTCTGGTGAAATTTGGAATTCCTTCTGGGTAAATCTGGTGCTTTGAAAAAGTTTGGCCTAGGCTATTTATAATTCAGTTTTTCAGGTTTGTATATTATAAATATGTTAGAAGACAATTAAATACAGAAGATATTTTAAAATTAAATTAGAAATGTCTCAACCTACACCAATTTGAGTCTGATTTTTTTAAAGGCCACAGAAATGGGGGGAAATGGATTACAGTTATTGCTGTAATTTCTTCATGTGGTGATTACCGTTTGTATTGTACTTGCATTGTTTTAATTATAACAGCATTTCTAACTATTGGTTGGCTTTGGTATTTGGCAGGTTATATTGACAGGACAGTAATTTGTCATTCTAACTGAAATTTCCCTAGTTAAAATATGTTTATGCTCATGGAAAAATAAGAAATCTATTCAAGAATAATTTTATTCTTGAAATTAGTTAATATTTCCCTTCAGATTTATCCTTTCCAGGTACATAGTTATATGCTTGGAGTAATCAGGTAACTTATGAACCTGGAACTTTCCAATTTCAAATATAATCAGCAGTCTTGCTTTCTCACATGGAACTTGAAAGATGGACTTGTTAAGAAGCCCAAGCTTAGTATTTAAATTCCTGTTGAGAATGTTTTTTTCAATGCCTTGGTTTTAATGCATTGGGACATAATTCTTTAATGCCTTGGTTTTAAAAGATTGGGAGAGAATACTTTCATGACATCTCGTGAATTTAGTTTTAGAGTTTCTTTGGTTGTTGAACAAGCACATAAACAAATGTAGGGTGGGCTCGCTCCAGGTGAAATTATTTGGATAAGCTGTTCTGATAGAGGATGTTAGAGATCAACATGATAAAAAATTACAGTTATGTTTAATCAAAAAGAAATCTGAGGGAGGGGAGAATGGGTTACATGTAAGATAAACTAGAAATCATAAATAAACTTAGGGAAAAGCATCAAACAATGAAATAAGCTCTAGCAGCCTGTCCATGAGTTCACAAAGAGTCAGACATGGCTGGGAGATAACACACTGCAGTTTATGCAGAAGGCCACATCCGCCCGCTGCTTTCCTTGTACTGAAGAGAAGGTAGAGAATTCCCCCAGTCTGACCATCGATTTCCACTAGAATGCTTAATTACCTGGAGAGTTTAATCTCCCCAGCCTTCCTTATTACTCATCACTTTTGTTTTTATGATTTTAATTTTTTAGTATTTTCTTAGTGTTAGAATGGCCTGTTTTAATTTCACTGAAAATTTCACTAACCTCTGGGAAAAAAAACAGAGTTTGTAAGTTACACAGAACGCTCATTCTCAGAAAGGACCCATGAGGGGAAATTATCATTTCCTTTTGCTTTGCCCGCTTCCCATTTCACCACTGAGAAATGAAAAGAAATTCATAATTGGAGCCTGGAATATTGCATCTGTTCTGAGGTCACTAAGTTCTGTTTCTCTCAACGGTTCTAAATCATACCTCACTAGCCTGCTTCCAACTCAGCCCTGAGACTGGAGACCCCAAAATGGGTAATACCACTGAGAAAGTAATTGCAGGTAAATGATTTATTTTTTCCTGGTCTAATAAAACCATGAAGGCCAAATACTAAAATTCTTAAAACATTAAACCCAAGCTAAAGAATAACTAAAGGAACAATAGGCAATTTATAAAGGGGCGAACAATAGAGGCATGCAGTGACGCCTCAAGTTAAAGCTGAAAGGGCCTTTAAAGATAATCCAGTAATTTAATTTTACAGACTAAGTCAATTGAATCTTGAAGCTAAAGTGACACAATCAGAAATATTCAGCTGTAAGGCAGTGCTCAGGTTGTCCAGTATCCTCCCTGCCATAGCCACCAGCTTGCTCCATGCATTTAGCATGTGTTTCTCAGTCTGTTCTTTTGTGGGCGCCAACCCCATATAGATGCCCTAAGTCCTGAAAGGTTCCGTAGTAAAGTCTGGGCATCTGTCAGCCCGCTCCCTTGGAACCACTGTGTGCATTGGCATTTTAGAGGCTCTGAGGCCCTGCAGCAGGACACGCTCTGTAGCTTTGTTCTGTCTGACATTTCCCATGCTGTCTGAGTTCTGGACCATTCTTCCTCATAGCATGGATGAATGCTGAAGCCGTCCGCAAAATCTTTGGGGGGCAGTGAGGGGAGATCTAACAGCACATGACAGGTAAGTGAAGTATTGATAGCATATGAGATTTTGAATGTTGGAATAACTGGATTTATTCAGAAAGGAAAAGATGAAAATATAGGACTAGACCATCTTTCTTTGTGTCATAGGAAAGCAGTATTATTAAGGAAAAATATTTTGTGCTTCAACGCTGATGCTAAATTGATTTTTTAAATACTCATTCGCTGCTAATAATGTTGCCAACATCAACTTTATTCAACTCAGAATGCTTAGTTTAAGTGTATCATACCTTCTGTTTGTTTTCCAGGACACTGTAATTTATGACCGACTGGCAGAAACTTCAAAATACAAAGAAATTACCCTAAAACATTTGGAGCAGTTTGCTACAGAAGGTGAGTGTAATACAACAGTAAACCTAACTAAAATAAGGTGAAATCATATATTTACTACTATCTTATAGGATTATTCTTATTATTTTACTTGGAGATTCCTAAAGTAAGATACCAATAAATGTTGACCATTCAGATCTTACTATATGCTATTCCCAGCCGTTATTTTTATTTTGCTCTCCTGTATTTATTAACATTTTGAAAGACTTTGTCCACATATTTAAGGGGATGTAGAGCTTATAAATCTGTTTGCTTTTTAGAATGGATACCATTTACAGTTTAAATACTTTACATCTCAAGCAATGTAGAAGGACAGAAACAAGAGTTAAGAACTGGATAGTCTAATCTGAGTAAGAAAGAGGCGAAGAAATAAATAAACCCATATAACTACTGAAACAATTGTTCAATTTAGTGTTAACGCAGGCCTTTTTGTAAGCCCCTGCCTCACCCAGGCTCTGTGAGGCCTGAGGATCGCGGTAAACACACGTGGTCCTGGCGCTCTGTACCGAAACGTAGTCTAGGGAGACGATCTAGAAGAGACGAAAAGCAGTGAGAGCCGTTAAGCCTCAGGGTCAGTTACAGGAATTTGTAGGCTCTTATCTCTACACTCAACAGAGGTCACCGGGACTGTATCCGCATCTCCCATCTAAGTTTTCACTCTGCTCTGCTTCTGCCGGAACTGTGGCTGGTGGCGCCAAGCCTGACCTCTGAGCCAAACCTCTTCCTCTTAATGCAAGCAGCAAAATGATAGGAATATTATTAAAAGCACTAGGCTTTGAAGAGCAGGGACATATGGAACCTTCTACCATCTCTCCTCCAAAAATGGAAGCGCATGGAGACACACACATCTGTTGATTCCTGAGAATTCACATTCTGAATCTGTTGATTCAGATTCCATGAGGCGCAACTTCCGAGGGGATGGTGGGTACAGCACAGCCTAGCTCATACTGCAGGTTCCTTTACTGAGGAAGGAGCAGGTTGGAGGAGCATCTTCCTTCTCTCTGGTTCTGATGTTAAGGATATTCTAGCTCCGAGACCAGTTCCAGAGAAGGCAATGGCACCCCACTCCAGTACTCTCACCTGGAAAATCCCATGGACGGGGGAGCCTGGTGGGCTGTGGTCCATGGGGTCGCTAAGAGTCGGACACGACTGAGAGAGTTCACTTTCACTTTTCACTTTCATGCATTGGAGAGGGAAATGGCAACCCACTCCAGTGTTCTTGCCTGGAGAATCCCAGTGACGGGGGAGCCTGGTGGGCTGCCGTCTATGGGGTCGCACAGAGTCGGACACGACTGAGTGACTTTCGCTTTGACTTTCAAGTCTCCAGCGAAGTGTCCAGAAGAGAAAAACATGTCCCTAATGTGGCCCAAAGAGCTAAGTTCTGTTTGCAGCAGCGTGGCGGTGACCATGTACTCCTTCTTGGGACGTGGCGTCTTCCGGACGTTCTGTGTCCCGTGTTCTTTGCTTCTTTTTCCGGTGTGCTCCCGGCCGTATTTGATTTGACTTGACATCGATAACACCTAATTATTCTGAGAGCTAAACGACCTTGAGTGAGAACATTGTCTTCTTGGTAACCTAGTTAACAGCTTTTATCCTGGCTGGCAAATCTTCTGCTTCTTTGTCTTTCCAGTCTGTAGACTTTTTTCTGGCTCAGGGTCACCTCCACATGTGTTAGAAAATGGGCAGACTCTGAGTACGGAAGTAGGTCACTTCAGACACCAGCTGTGATTTTTTCCCAGCTGTTTCTGGTGGGTATTCTTTTTTTGTCACTGTCCCTCNCTAGTTAACGGCTTTTATCCTGGCTGGCAAATCTTCTGCTTCTTTGTCTTTCCAGTCTGTAGACTTTTTTCTGGCTCAGGGTCACCTCCACATGTGTTAGAAAATGGGCAGACTCTGAGTACGGAAGTAGGTCACTTCAGACATCAGCTGTGATTTTTTCCCAGCTGTTTCTGGTGGGTATTCTTTTTTTGTCGCTGTCCCTCAATTTTTTAGACTCCTTATACTACAAATCCACTGTAAGAAATGCAGTTAGAGGAGGGTGGCTCTCCCAGTACACCCCGGTGGGGTCCCTCATTCCTTCCTCATAAGCATCTGTGGAGCCGTTGTTAGCGGGCCGGCCACTGTGCTCAGCCCTGGAGTCACAGGTGTGAAGAACTCCAGAAGCTCCAAGCGCATGTAGGAGATCACAGAAGAAACACAAAACATTGTCCTTCACACCACAGAAGTGTTGGAGTCTGGGTGAGAGGAGAAGGCTTCAAAGAGATGATTTTCAGAACTGAGTCTTAAAGTAGATGCAAGGCAGTTGGTGGAGGGGAATGGGAGAGGGTGGAATGGAGGGGGAAAAAAAAGACCAATCTGTGCAAAGATCCTACGATGGGAAGTGGACGGCAGAGAAGGAGGTTAAAGGCAATTGATGTGTGGTGACTGAGCCAGAGTTTGGGGTTTGAACTTCATCCTGCAGAATGATTAAAAGACTTCAGGCAAAGGAATAACCTTATCAGATAAGGATTTTAGAAAAGTCACTCGAGGCATGAAGCATGGATTGAAAGAGCTGGGGAATTAAAAGCCAGGTGATGGTGGTAAAGGCCAGAGGCCTGTTAATATACAGTTGACGCGAAGGTTCCATCAAACTTGAGTCAGACTTCAGCATGCTGAATCGATGTTTTTGAAATGAGATTTTGCTCAAAACAAAGGGAAGTGTCAGATTTCTGAACAAAATCTTATCTGATGTTGCGGGGGGCATGCTCCCTTTTTCCAGGGTTAAGAACCTTGTGCTTTGCCGTGGCTGAGATTTCAGAGAGCGACTTTCAGGAGTGGCGAGCCGTCTATCAGCGTGCATCCACATCTGTGCAGAACAGGCTGCTGAAACTCGAAGAGAGCTACGAGTTAATCGAAAAGGTACAGCTCTTCTGCTTGGGAGGAAAGTTTGATTTCCAGAAAACTCCAGTCTTGTTTCGAGGGGCCAATAAAATAAAAATTAAAATGTCTTGACACACCACTGTTGAATCTCCTCTGGTCTAAGCAGTAACAACTCAGTCTTTTCCAAAAATTCTCTGGACTTACCTGGTATAGATTTTGGCTCTTTTCACAGTTTTGGATCAAATTGAGGCTGATCTGGTCTAGCAAGCTCCTTGCCAACATCTTCCATTGCGTCTTGATCGCACGCCCTCTCTCCACACACAAACATGCATGAAAGCTGCATCCAAGTGTGTATAGATGCAATGGGCTTCACTGGGGGCTCAGATGGTAAAGAATCTGCCTGCAACGCAGGACACCCAGGTTCGATCCCTGGGTCGGGAAGATCCCCTGGAGAAGGACATGGCAGCCCACTCCGGTACTCTTGCCTGGAGAATCCCCATGGAGAGAGGAGCCGGCGGGCTACAGTCCATGAGGTTGCAAAGACTGAGCACCTGAGCACATAATGTATAATACAAAATAATGCAATAAATGCACAGCTGTGTCACTCCATAAGCAGTAATAGAGAATGTGCAAGTGAACAATCCGGTGCTTATACCTGGCCTGTCATTGTTCACTTAGCTACATCCATCATTTGTACCACAACTATAAATATCCTCGCTTTACTGATAAAGAAACCAAGGCTATTCAGCCAAAAAGTGATGGATACACCATGATTGATGCTTCATAAACAGCAAGAAATCTTGCTTCCTGAATTCAGAAGAGCAAACATTTTTATGTTGTACTGACTGTGTGCCAGGTGCTATTTGGAGCACTTGAATCTTTAACCTACTTAATTAAAAACCTACTTAATCTTCATAGCATCCCTTTGAGGTGTAGGTAGTGTTAATTATCACAACTGTGTAAATGGAGAAATCTAAGCACCAGAGAGGTTGAGTCATTTGGAGGACATTCCTCGGCACACAAGAACGTAAGTCAGAATTCCTGCTCTGGCTCAAGTCCAGGCTCTCAGGCACTCAAGTGTCTTCATTCCAGCCTTTAAGTTCCCATGAAATAACGCTGCTTGCGTAATTCCTTCACACGTGCTCCTGTTCTGAGGCAGAGACTCGGGCTTTGCCTGTTGGCCACAGTTGATTCCACCTTCCAGTGAGTCGTGGCTGGCGTGTTTTTTTTCTTTCTCTGCCAGTGTGCTTCCTGGCACGTCCTGAGTGGCAGCCAGCGCAGTGGGCGCATCCCTGGACTCGACCCCACGCCCTCTGTGCCCTGTGACCCCAGGCCCGCTACGCCCGGCCTGGAGCAGCGTTCTCTGCCGTGCAGTCCGCTGTGACTCTGGGTACAGCCTCCTGTCTCCTCAGGAGGCTGAGACCCCCTCAGAAGCTAGGTTGCTTTGCGTCCCTCCCTTATATTTCAACTCATTCTCTATCTTCCTTATTTCTCAGAAGACTTGTGACAGACTGTGTGAAACCTTCCCAGTTGATAAACCCCACCTCCACCACCAATTTTAGATGTGTGCCCTCACCAGGAGACTTGTGATCCATCGCTTACTGAATTCCTCTCTTTCTTTTCTAGTATTGTATATATACTTAACGTCTTTGGAATATCAGGTAGTGAAATAAAATAGTATTTTATTTATGAGACCATGACCATAATCTCTTTCGTTGCCTCCAAAGTCACGTATTATTTAGAAGCACTAATGGATTGTTGATTTTTAATCTTGGGCTTTTCTTGCTCTTTGAGGGGGTTTCCCTGGCGGCTCAGACAGCAGAGAGTCTGCCTGCAATGCAGGAAGCTGGGGTTCGATCCCTGGGTTGGGAAGATTCCCGGGAGAAGGGAATGACAACCCACTCCACTATTCTTGCCAGGAGAATTCTGTGGACGCAGAAGCCTGGCCGGCTGCGTACCATCCATTAGGTCGCACGACTGACTGACTCATGCACACACAATCTTTTGAGAAATTAAAAAAGATTACTCTGCTTGGAGATGATTCTTTTCCTCCTGTCTCCTTTCCTAACAGCCTGAATATAATGTAGTCTTTTTTCACGTGGCAATGATAGAATTAATACAACTAACAATAAATATATTTTAAGTGGATTCTAACCATTAAATTTTGTTTCTACTTGAAACGCTCTGGAGCAAATTCTGGAGTTGAATGTTTAATGTGACAAATGTTTTTACTGAGAATGTCCTAGAGTTTATAGATTCAATTTTATAGGTTTAACAGTTGTGTGTGTGTTTAATATCTGTTATTAAATTTTGACTTCCCTCTTTTAACTAAAACAGATATTCAACCTTTCTTCCAGCAGATGGCGATCGTGAGTCACATTGAAATTTAAGCTGCCTAGGGAAATCCATTACATATATTTACATATTTTTAGTTTACAGAGAACAGAAGTCTCTCTTATGACTACCTCTTACCTAAAATAAATGAAAAAGAGAATTTATAGCTAATTCCTTTTTTTCTTTGTGATAAGTCATGCTCTCTTAATTTTTATTGAAAAATCAGAAAGATTGGTTCACCCAGTTTGTTCCGAATAAGGACTGATTTTCTACATCCCTGAAACTATAGTTTCTTTCAGTGATTAACTTAATTAACTTTCATCAGGTGATTGATAAATGCTAGATCTCAGGGACGCCCAACCAAATAAGGAACACTCCGAGTGTCATGGTCTGAACTAAGTCCTCCAGGAAGTCCAGGAGTGACCCACAAGCTTTAAGGAAGGTGGTAGTTTTTGAAATCAGCCTCAAAAGATTATTCTACCCACTGAAGAAGAGCAGGAGTCTTTTAGGAGAAAATGAACAGGAACAGAATGCAGAGGGGTCCCTGCAACGAAAAGCTTTTCTGAAAAGATGATTTGCCCAACCCCGCTCACCTGGGGACTGCAGGTAGTCGGGGTGCTAGCGTGTCTCCCCTTTGAGCATCCATTGGTTATTAGAATCAGTGATGGGCGGTATCCAGGGGGCGCCGTTGGGGGCCGCCACACGTGGCAGGCGCCACCGCATCAGAGCAGATTCTGCTGCTGTCACTGTTCATTTAGCTGGTCGGGGTCCTAAAGGTGAACGTGGGCACTGCTCAGTTGCATCCGAATGTTTGTGACCCCGGGGACTGTGGCCCACCAGGCTCCTCTGTCCTTGGAATGCTCCAGGCAAGAATACTGGGGTGGGTAGCCAGTTCCTTCTCCAGGGGATCTTCCAGACCCAGGGATCGAACCTGGGTCTCCTGCATCGCTGGTTGATTCTTTACCTTCTGAGCCACCAGGGAAGCCCTAGTTTCATCCATTTTCATCCTTGGCTACTTTAAATGAGACCTGTTTATTATGTAATCCATTTTTCTTGTGATTAGGATCTATTTTTTATATTGACCATAATATTGGACTTTAGCATGTAAGCTAGTGACTTTCAAATTATTTTCATGTCTCTCTTTTTTTAAAAAGTAGAACCTCTTTCCCAAAGTAAATATTGCCTGAATATACTTACATATTTTTAATACATAGAATATATAAAAGCAGAACTGTGCTGGTTAACAAGTAGAGGAGTGGGGAGATGCCCCTCACTGGCTCTCCCCTGACACCCCCACCTTGCTCTCATCATGGTCCATGAGGGGCTTTTCAGGACTTTGGGGCTCTGTGGAGCACCGTTTGGAAGCCAGATTATATTCCTCTTGTCTGTGAAATCTTTTTAGGAAACATGCTTCTCAAAATTGCTATAGATACTTTCCCTCACTTTCCAACAAAGATCAGGACATCCTGTGGTCATACACAAGACGTTGCTGGACATATTTGAAATAGTGATGACTATTCCAAATGGTATTATGGTGTTATATTAAAGACATTCAAAATACAAAAGATTTGTAGAGCTCTTCCTGGAAACAAGAATGTATATTGATGTTACAAAATAAGTGACAATTTTATAATATGTTTAAGGTTGTACTTTTATACCCTTCTCTCTGTGTTATCCCTCCAGTGTTTGTTCAAACAAGCAATTCAGTTTTCAAAATTTTAGTTAAAGCCTTTTTTCCTTGGGGGCTGTGACTCCTAGCATAATCTGAAAAAATATATCCAAATAGGCCAAGAACCTCCCAGGAGATAATGCCATCTGTCCTGTGGCACAATGCTTTGTGACATTTCTACCCAGCGCATGTGAGCTCTTAGAAGGAAGGTCCCCCTTTACCTCCAGGGTACAGTGAAGGAGAGAGAATGTGGGAGCCTGGACAGGAGGCTCTGGATGGACTTTTCCCTGGTGACGGTCATAGTTAGGGATTTAGGACTTTTCATCCATCTGGACAATGTCATCAGCGTGTCAGCTACACAGTTGTATAGTTTGGATTCCAGCACTTTCATTCAGATGTTAGACTTTTCAGGATTAAAAAGACATCATTTCTAATGCTATGAGTTGTTTCAAGATGTTCCTGAAACATTTTTTTCTATTACTAAATAAAGGTCAAGAAGGTGACATTTATTACCAGGAAACCCAAGACATTCAGGAACAAGAAGGCTCACATAGTTAAAATGCAGAAGGGATTATGAGAATCACATCAGATACTTGAGGTGTCTTGACCCAGTTTGAGGATAATTGTAGCATCACTTGGGTTTTGTGGACAGGAAACACCTCTTCGTCTCTGTTTATCACCACTTGAGAAAATTTACAGTTGTTTCATTTTTCAGACAACACACTTGACCTGCTCTACCTTCTTTAGTCTCTTTCTTTTGAAGGGCAGTGTATTTGGATTTATAATTTAGATTATGAAACCATTTATAGTGTTGGTCTGTGTCTTTAAATATTAGATTACTTTTTAAGTTAAGAATTTATTGTATTTGGTCAGGGAGAGATTGCAAATAAACAACAGGATAATTATCAAGCCTTATACTTCTTTAGCAGTGGTTTCTCTGAACTGTCTCACCTTCTTCTTTGATCTGCTACTTCACATTTATTTCTAAGGCAAAATTTATTTGCCTCATACTTGTAATGTGATGATGAGTTCCTTT